GCTCGAGATTAGGTAAATATTGATGATGTTGGCGTTCAACAACGGAGTTCTGTTGAGGTGTATATGCACATGAAAAATGATGAATAATGCCATGATCTTTGAAAAGTTTAGTGAATGCAAGTTCAGGCACATTATCACTACGAATGATCTTAATAACCGAATTGTACTGAGTCTTAACAAGCTAAATGAATGAAAGAAGGAATAATAGATGAAACATCACTTTTATTCCTTAACATTTAAATTCATGTAACTCTTGTAAAATCATCAACAATGGTAAGAAAGTAACAATAACCCTCTACAGATTCAACTGAAAAAGGACCCCATAAATCTAGATGTACAAGATCAAATGGAGACTCAGACATGGTTATGAGAAACAAATAGTAATTTCTTCTGTTTAGCTAATGGAAAATTTTCAAAAGGACTGACACTCTAGACTTATACAACGGTAATGAACCTGAAATGTGTTGTAACTTGAGAGAAGATGGATGTCCTGAGGCGTTGGTGCCAAAGATCTCCATCTGCTAACAAGGATCCACAGAACTTGGTAGAGGAAGAAGTGACATCAGTCTCCAGAATGTAGAGACCGTGTATAAGTGTGCCTCTACCAATCATCAAGTCCTCAATATTGTCATGTATATAACAAGAATCAACATAAAAATGAGCAGAGCTACGATTAGAATGCAACAAAGAACTGACACTAATCAAAATGAATTTGAAAGTAGAAATGTATAGGACATCATGCAAAACTAAATGATTAGAAATATGCACGGTTCCAGTGTATGTAATAGGGACGCTAGTGCCATTTGGAAGAGAGACTGTAACTCCTGTTACAGGGAGAACTTCACTAAACCGAGATAAATCTGAACAAATATGGCTAGTAGCTCCACTGTCTATTATCCAACAACCATTGGGAAGGACATAATATAGAGTGGAAAGACAATGGTGTTGGAAGGTAAATGAGTGATTTTCATATCGATTGCTAGTGGAAGGAAAGTATATTGAGACATTACCAGATGTGGATGTAGCAGCCATAGCTTCATTTTCGGTAACAGAAGCAAGAGGCGGAGTCGTCTGCTCTGGAGTCTGTACATGAGCATTGAGATGATGAATCAGAGACCTAACCTGATCATTAGTGAACTGACTAAGATCAAAGGTGGTCGGAGAAGGACCAGCAACTGCATTAGCCATCGGTTGAGAGTAACCAGATTGAAATTGAGACTGTGGTAGAAAAGCAGGTCGAGGGCCAGCAGGAGTTTGGCCACGAAGCTGAAAAGATTGCTGAGCAGATTTTGCCTTTTGACCAGGTGAATATTCGTGAAGCTTATAACAGTTCTGGAATGTATGACCATTGCAACCACAGTGAATACAATACGGTCATTGCTGTTGTTTTGGAGGTCGAAAAGAAGCATAAGTATTATTCTCAGTTGGACCAATGTAACCACTCGACTCTGTAGAAGTCTGAAAAGCCTCATTATCTATCTTCGTAGAAGGCTTGATACACTTCTTCCTCTCGTCTTGTGCAACCATGTTAAAGACATCTTCTATTGAAGGAATGGGCTTCAACATCAAGATATGTCGTCGTGTAGGATCATATACCTCATTCAATCCCATAAGAAACTTAGTCACGCGGCTACGTTGTTGAAGTTGCTCCCAAAGAATTGCAGCTTACATTCACATTTTCCACATGTACAAACTGGTAACTCAACATATTGTATTCCTCCCAAAAAGTGACTAATTCAGTGTAGTATGTACTAACATCCATAGATCCCTGCTGAATCAGACTCAAACTTTACTCTATCTCGTAGACCCTAGGTGCATCATATTGTTTAAATCGAGACATCAAATTCTTCCAAATAGCCTCTGCCGCAGGCATAAAAAGCAAGCTCTGACCTATATTCATAGACACAGAGTTCATGAGCTATGTAGCTACCATATCGTTTCACCGAGACCAAGATCGAACATCTCTATGATCTAAAGGAGGTTTATGAATCATACCATCAATGAATCTGAGTTTATTTCGGACGTTTAGAGCCATTCAAATGGAGTGACGCCAAGAATGAAATTCCGAGCCGGTGGAGAGGCGATCGGAGACAAGAATTAACCCAGCGTGATCCGAGGCATGGAGGAAATACGGGTTTTTGTATTGATCGACATATTGGGAGTGTGATTAAGCTGGATTCGCTAAAGACACATTCACAGGATTGGGATTAATTGAAGCCATTTCCAAGACAGAAATTGAAGATGGTGAAGAGAAATCAAGCCGAGATTGTGAAAAGAAACGAGAGCATTGAATCTAGATCAAAAAGGAAGAAAAAGCGGAAATAAGAAAAGAATCGAAAGAGCGAAGAGAAAATCAATCACTGCAAAAATCAACTGGAGAATGAAACTGGAAATCAGCTGAGCTACCTAAGAACTCATAGCTGAAGAATCAATGGCGATTTCATGAAGAAGGTTGAAGAAATTTGAACGAGAATTGATGGCGGAGAAACTTTATTCCGTAGAAATACACTCTGATACCATATTAACATTGAACTAATGATTATTGTTAATTCCATAACGTGTCATACAAAGTATTTATGTAACACGAGATTAAGCAAAAGGAAACTTAATCTCTCTATACAAATAATATTATCTAACCAACATTGAACTAAACACTATACCGGGTATAACCACTATAATAAACGAAATACTAAACTCAGTTTTACCTTCACATTTCATGTCTAAAACCCACTTTGATCCATTCAGCTCACTCCATTCAACAATCTTATTGTTTATTGCTCAAAAACTATTTGATACTTGTGTTATGAAAGATAAGCCAAGTTCTTTCGATATTTTCTATTTAGAAATTTTGACTGTTGTAATTCTAGCTACTACAGTTGGACTCTAGAAAGGATGGCGATAGGCAAGTCTAACTCCAATGTAAAAAATTCAAGATGGTGGATCAAGCTTTCTACCATTCGAAGGGGCTCCATCATCCTCCCAAAAGTGGATTAGCATATTATCTAGCCCACAAAGAAAAGCATAAATACTAATCTATGACGACAAAGCATATTATCTAGCCCACAAAGCAAAGGGGCATGACACTAAGGATTGCTGAATATTGAAAGCAATCCTCCTGATGAGGTACCTTGCCGATGAATTAACTAGATGTAATGGCCCATTCGTAAAAATAGTCAATTCATTGGTTAGAAATCCAAGAAACTCCCACAAAAGGTAACTTTAAGCGAAAGAAATTAGTGCATGCTGAATAAGCCGCATGACAATAGTCTAATCAAAACATTAAAATTTAGCAAAGGAGATAAATTGCTTACAAAGTCTTCTCTCATACCATTCTGTAGAACTGCTGCGAGTAGAAGTTATCTGTAGAAACAAAAGAGGAATAAATACATCAAGTGATGAAATTGAGAAGTGCACAATCAGAAGAAAAAAAGAAGAGATTATGGGCTATCTTGGCCCAAAATTTCCCCAAATCGGGTGAAGTTTGGATGATCCTTCTTTGAGAACTGACTTAATAAAATGGATCTTTGCCTCCACTTTACGATAATGCCTAAGAAAAGTCATTGTCGTGAGCAATATCACAATAGGAATGTTGTTCATGAGGAACTTCCGGTCTTCTCGTAGATAGGGGATCGAGTTTTCTTAGGAGCAGTGACAAGATGTACTTCGAAACTAACCCGCTTAAGAACGTCGGCATCGTCATGAGCTCAATAAATGGGAACTACAGCAGCGGATCGAACGACAAAACATTATAAGAGTTAGATCCGTTCAGAAAACATTATCAATCTCAATGGGGTTTGGGGATGGAGTGAAGACCATGACGCGACCCTCATTAGAAGCACCTTTACCGTCACCCGCAATGTTGCCAGGACGGTTGCCTTTGACAGCATCATCCATCTGAAAGTTGGGTTTAGCTAGCAGACTGGTGATGCATTATTACGGGCTAGGTAAAACTAATGGTTGGACCACAGAAAATTAACTATTTTGGTATGAATTTATCTATTTACAATCAAACTAGAACAGATCGATGAAGATTTTGTAGTTGAATTTCACGATATAGCAAGCAAATAAGTATGCAAATTTACAAAAAATCATGAACTTGTTATTGATTTATTTCGGAAAACACAGACAAATATGGCACTACAAAAAATATGCTTATTGATAGCACATTTTAATAGCGTAATATTTGTAATTGCTATTAAATGTCATTTACGGAGTTGGGTACTCTGATATAGCGCTTTAAAAATGCTAAAGCGTAAGAAAATGTGAACGAGAACAAAAAAAGGCCTTGGCTCGCATAAAACACTTATGCACGCCAACACTTAGTAAAACTTTCATGTGTTAGACAAAGCATAATAACATTCTGTCGACTAAAAAAAAAATTTTGTCGGATGAACAAAAATTAGAAAGTTCTAGGGTTATCGAGAGTGGAGACTCATCTCAAATTCATCAGGCCGATTCAACAATCTGACGTCTCTGATACCCTCATCGTTGAAAATCTCTATCACATTCGGTGTGGGGTTTGCTCATGCTCATTGTCAGCTTGATTCCTGTTCAAATTACATTCCCGATTTGGAGATTTCTGGGCTTTACCGAAAATTTCCGGTGATTGAGGCACAATTGTTTGTCAAATTCAGCTGAAAATAGACGACGCACATGCAAAGGTAACCCCAATTTCACTCATCATTCGATTCATTTAATTCTTATAATTGTTTTACTTACTGTATTTTCATTTTCATGTCCTTCTTCTGGAGGTTTTGAAGCTGAAGAGAAACCAAAAGACAGCGAGAAGACATCAAATACATCGGCGAACAAAGCTCAATCGTGTCTGATTTCTTTGATAATCAAGGTCAATGTAACTCGTTAATCGGTTTAGGGGTTAGCCAGACTTGTTAGAAAACTCGTTTATATTGAAATCTCCTTTGTCTTCAGGAGTACTTTTAGAGTGTTTGTTTAGGTTTGAGTCGTTTTGCTAACAATTTTTATTAAGGTTAGAGTATACAATGGTGGACAAGGCATGGGTTCACCTATGCAGGTATCACTTTAGAAACATTTGTTTTCATTAGATGTGCTTCTGTATAGTTTAGCTGCATAGTTTCGACTTTTTTTCTTTCATCGACATGCATATGTTGAAGAGCGGATCCTGCATATGAGATTGGTGCTAGGAATTCTGTGAACTCAGTTGCCTCTGCCTTAGGAGATTGTGATTTGGTTATATGGACGTGCATTGATTGTCGAAACGTAGACCATCATTCTAAAAATGATGTAATGGATAACCTGGTCACAAGAGGAATGGATGAGACTTACAAGCTAAGGGCTGATTGGTATCATCACGGGGAAGTAAACTGTGGGTCTGAAGAAGTTGGAAAGTAATTAGAGAGTGGAACGAGGAGATTCTAGGGTTGTATCAAGCTGCCGAATACTTAGATGAAGAGTTAGCTACCAAGACTGACTTATGCGAAGTTGCTGAGGGGTTAGACAAGAGAAAGGACGAGTTCCTAGCTAAACTTTCTGATGCTGAAACGCCAATGTATCCAAGTTGTGCTAGCCATAGCAAGCTATCAGCAATTGTATCATTGTTTAGGCTGAAGACTCAGAATGGGTGGCCGGACAAGAGCTTCATCGAGCTGTTAGAGACACTGCCGAGTATGTTGCCGGAGGAAAATGTCTTTCACACCTCGTTGTATGACGTGAAGAAGTTCCTGAAGTCTTTCCATATGGACTACGAGAAGATCCATGCCTGTATAAATGATTGTTGTCTTTTCAGAAAGAAGTTGAAGAAGTTAGACAACTGTCTCAAGTGCAAGACACCAAGATGGAAGACAAACTTGCAAACCAGTGAACTTAAAAAAGGCGTCCCTCAGAAAGTTTTGAGGTACTTTCCCATCATTCTGAAGCTGAAGAGGATGTTTAGGTCAGAGCAAACTGCTAAAGAGCTACGGTGGCATTTTACTAACAAAAGTAATGATGGAAAGCTGTGTCATCCCGTGGACTCCGTAACATGGGACCAGATGAATTCCAAGTATTCGTTGTTTGCTGCGAAATCAAGGAACATTCGGCTAGGTCTATCTACCGATGGTTTCAATCCATTCAGCATGAAAAATACAAGGTATTCTTGTAGGCCTGTATTGTTAGTGAATTATAATATGGCTCCAGACTTGTGTATGATGAAGGAGAATATAATGCTTTCTTTGTTGATTCTTGGACCGTGTCAACCTGGCAACAGTATAGATATGTACCTGGAGCCACTGATCGATGATCTACAACACTTGTGGGACATTGGAGAGCACACGTCTGATGCATTCAGTAAAACCACATTCACAATGAAGGCAATGCTATTGTGGACTATTAGTGATCTACCAGCATATGGAAATCTGGCTGGCTGCAGAGTAAAAGGTAAGATGGGATGTCCATTATGTGGAAAGCATACTGATAGTTTATGGTTACCTAATAGCAGGAAGCATGTTTACATGTGTCATAGAAAGGGATTATCACGCACACATAGTTACCATGGGAAGAAGGCATGGTTCGATGGAAAAGTGGAATATGGAAGGAAGAGTAGGATTCACACGGGTCACAACATATCTGTGTTGCTGAAGAATTACAAAACGAATTTGGAAATGTAAGACAAACTGGTAGGAAAAGAAAAAGGGTTATCCCTGCGGAATCATTAACTGATAGTGAAGACGAAGAATCAGAATCAGAGGAGGAGGAGGAAGTAGATGAAGAAGAATTATCTAGATGGAAGAAACGATCTACCGTTTTCAATCTTCCGTATTGGGAGGTATGTTATCATTTTACAACTTCATTTATCTTTGTTGACTATACTTTACATATTTTAAAGACTTTCAACTTACATGTGTATATGCAATCCATAGGAACTCCCAGTCAGACATAACTTAGACGTTATGCATGTAGAAATAAATGTTGCAGCGAGCATTATTTCCACCTTGCTGCATTGTGGAAATTCAAAAGATGGTCTTAATGCTCTTAAAGATCTACAAGTCCTTGGTATTAGGAAAGAGTTGTATCCTAAAGCCAGAGGCAAATGAACGTACTTACCTGCAGTACCGTGGTCTTTGTCGAAGGAAGAGAAGAGACTATTCTGTAAGCGTCTACATGAATTCAAAGGACCGGATGGTTATTGCTCAAATATATCCAGGTGCGTATCATTAGAAGAGTCTAAGACAATAGGATTGAAGTCACACGATTACCATGTGCTTATGCAACAACTTTTACCAGTTGCACTTAAAGGTCTATTACTGAAAGGGCCTAGAATAGCCATCACACGATTATGTGCATTCTTCAATAATATATGTCAACGTGTTGTTGATAGGGAGAAAATATCAGAAATGGAAAACAAAATTGTTGAGACTATCTGTATGTTTGAGAGATTTTTCCCACCTAGTTTCTTTGATATAATGGTTCACCTGTGTGTACATCTTGGGAGGGAAGCTAGATTAGGTGGAGCTGTGCACTTCCGATGGATGTATCCTTTCGAGAGGTAAGTTTTCTATATACTTTTTTATGCTAAGTTTACTTGCCACATATTTCAACTTCCTTGATCATTATTCCTATCTTTTTTATTCCCACCAGACACATGAAACTGTTGAAAGACTTCGTGAGAAATCCTGCAAGACCGGAAGGATGTATTGCTGAATTGTATCTCGCAGAGGAATGTATGCAGTTCTGCAGAGATTTCTTGAGGAAGACCACAAGTGTTGAAGATAAACAAGATCAAAATACTGAATACGAAAGCACCTCTAAACTCGAAGGGCGTCCTATTTCTGCTAGGAGATCTATCACACTTACTGAAATGGACAAGAAAACAGCACACCTAGCTGTCATTCAGAATACCACATTGGTAGATCCTTATGTAGAGTAACCTATCCTTTCTTTCTTATGCTGCATTCATATTCGCCATTCAATCTTTATACTTATACATCTCATTGTTGTCTTAATTCACTTTGTAAGCTTGCATCTGCAATACCTGCAAGACACCAACCCACGGTGTAGACAAGATGCTACTTTCCTATGGAGTACTCACACTAAAAACTTTGCAGAGTGGCTTAAAAAACGTGTAAGTAAGCTATTTGGGTTCCCTTTACATACAAGGTAGATTTTTAAAAATATAGATGTCTAACTGGCTAATTTTTTTATGTCAGATACCACTTGACTCTACAGAACATGATGAAACACTTAAGTGGCTTTCATATGGTCCACGTAATATAGCCAGATCATACACTGGTTACATTTTCAATGGTCTGCGGTTTCACACAACATCAGTTCAGAGACAAACGCAAAATACTGGAGTATATTATGAAGCAACTGCAATGTGTCGAGCCAGTGCAAGGGACACTTCTCAAATCGTAGATTTGGTTTCATATTATGGCAGAGTAGTGGACATTATCTTATTAGACTACAACGTATTCTACATACCTCTATTCCGGTGTCAATGGGCAGTCAGAGGCAACGGTGTGAAGGTGGACAAAGGTTTTACTTTGGTCAACTTGAACCAAAGTCAAGTCTCTTTCGCAAGGGATCCATTCATCTTGGCATCTCAAGCTAAGCAAATGTTCTATTCGAGGCAGGACGAGTCTTCAAATTGGTATGTGGTTATGAGAGGCCCTTCAAGGAGATACACTGAGGCAGACAGTGATGAGGCAGATGCTGGGCCATTATCATCAGTTGTTGAGATGAATCTAGAAGATGTTAACGCTGAAGACCAAACTGCAAGGGTTGACTGTGAAGGAATATACATTTAGGACGTATACATATTGCTTATTGCGTAGTTAGAGTCGTTGCTTTCTGTTTAGTGTGTATGATTGACTGTGTGGAATAGGATGGTCTGAATTTTTCACTGATGGGTTGTATTGAGTGTTTCAGGTGATAAAGTATGGGTCAACCAGAGGGAAAATCCAGAAAAAGGAAGAATGTATCCGAGGAGCCAGAATTTATTGGGACAATATATCCGGTGAAACAAAACACGTTGTTTGATCCTGAAAGTATGCATGATGGAGCTGCAGACAATGCAGCCGGAAATTATCAACCTGATGAAGTCATGAACGAGGCGGTGCAGTCACCGATGAATGATGCAACGCAGAGTCCAGAACATAGAGTGTGCTCTCAGGACCCAGTCCTGAATGATGGATCACTGAATGTTGATGAGGATGAATGCCATGACTCTGAATTCCTGAATGATTAAACGCCTGCATCAGAAGGAACTACAGCTCCAAACAAGCCTAAGTGATCCAGAGGTCCAACAAGGATGAAAGACATTGCAAGAGATCTTAATAGTCGCACAAAGGTGGACTTCAATAGCATGGGAGAACAGTATGGATCATGATCGGTTAAGCTGTCATCTTACCTTGGGCCTTTGGTGCGTGAACACGTCCCTGTCATTATTGAAGATTGGAGGAAGATTGGTGAAGAACGGAGAACAGTCCTATGGAAATCTGTACAGGTATACACACTTGAATTTAGAATAAGGTAAGTATAATGTACTTCATTGTTATTGTTTGATTTTGTATTTGTTGTAGGCAAGGTTCGAATTACATGAGGAATATCACAAGATGGCTGTTATCAAGCAAATGGGTTGTATATGGAGGGCCTCTAAGTCGAGGCAAGTCATTCAGATCAAGAGTTGTAAGAATAACGCAGAAAGATTGAAGCTTCGCCCAAATAATATTCCACCGGCAAAATGGCGCAAATTTGTGAAAGCTAAAACTAGTCCAGCATTTGAGGTAATCATTTATCCTTCATTTACTTTCGTATACAGATAACTGAATTTTTGTTTACAGGAACTGAGTGACAAATATAAAGAAAGAAGACGAAACCAGATTCCTCATACTTGCAGTCGAAAGGGGATGGTCAGACTGGCTGAAAATATGGTAATATTTCCTATGTGTAATACTGATGCAACTATATGCAAATAACTGACATTGACAACTATTTTCAGAAAAAAGAGAACTCTGAACCATCTCAAGTAACTAGACTACAGGTATGGGTTAAGTCTCGAACCAAAAAGGATGGCACTGCGGTCAATACAAATGCAGCCGAGAAGTTTGTAAGTAGTGTACAATAACGAGTTGGTTTATTTTAATAAGTTGATGAATACTGGCGTATTTTGTCTGATATCGACAGTGTGTGTACTGAAAAAGACAGCTGAACTTGTTGAAACTGTTTCTCCCTCTTCCACGTCCACAAATCCCAAAGAAGATCTCCTTTCTCAGCTACTTGGACCTGATAATCCCGGCCGTTTGAGAGCGATGGGTAGAGGGATGAGTCAAACCAAGTTAGCATGCTTCCAAATGAAAAACAAGTTTATAGATGATATGAACCGAGACCAACTAAGATTGATTCAACAGGCCATGATTTAGAGGAAGCATTGTCAAAAATACAAAACCAGGTAAGCGAGTATTTCATGTCTGTTTATAGTAAATCCGGATTTCCATTGTTATTATATTAACTTATGTTGGTCTTTTAAATTACATTTTCCAGAAACCAGAAGCTGAAGCCAGAGAGAACTCTGCTCCAAGAGTAAACTCTTGTTTTGTCTTATTTAGCTTTAACATTATTTTTTTATATGTTGACATATGTATTTACAATTCACCATTAACGAATGCAGAGTGTCAACACGAAATTACAAGTGAAGTGTCTGTTATTTGACTGGGCTGGAACAGATGAAAAAGTTGGTGAAGGACGTATTTTTTCTGAAGAGCCTGAGGAATTTGTCAACAGTATACCCTTAGGCCCAAACTCTTACAAAGTTTTGGTGGAAACAGCGACTAAGCCAGAAGCTTATCTTTGGAGACCTGCTCAGAACGTCTTTACTATGGAGCAAGCGGTTTGAGAGATGATTGCATGGCCTCAAAGTTTTGTGGTTCCCTTTGGCAGCGGATGTGAATCAAAAGACATTACGCCTCTGGTAAAGATTCTTTCATTACAGCATATTATAGTTGAGTTACTATTAAATGTAAAACTGTGTAATGCTTGACAATGGCTGCATGTGTTTTCTGCTTGACATAGTCCTAATACTAGCTCTCGGAACTTCTGCAAGCTTCTTGACTGGGCTAGAACTAACGAGAAAGTTGTTGCAGAGGGTCGTTGGCACTCTCGAGAGCCAAAATCATTAGTCAACGGACTACCTCTCGGACCAAATGCTGTGAAGGTGTTCGTAGATGTGGTATTTTTCCCAAATACCTTCCTGTGGAGGCCAACGACTGAGTTCTTAGATCTGGAGGATTCGGTCAAGACCTTTGTCGCATGGTCTGCGAATAGAGTAATCTTTGAGGCAAGTCCTGAACCGATTTCTCCTATTGCTAACTCTGAAACAACTCCACCAGCTCCAATAAAAAAACCAATGAAAGCAATGTCGGAAATTTCTACTCCTATAACTCAGGTTGGTTTTCTTACTAAACTTTCATTTGTTTGGTTTGTTTGGATTAGTTGATTTTGTGTATAGCTATATGTGCAAATTGTCTTTGCGACAGGAATACAACCAAGTGGAAACGGGGAATGAAAATAAGAAGTGCATGGTGATGGATATTACCGGAAAGAAGCGAATGATTGCTGAAGAACGTTGGGCCACAAACAATCCACTTCAAACAGTACATTTCATTCCCTTTGGTCCAAATGCAGTTAAGGTGTGGATTGATGTTGTCAAAGTCAAAGATGCTTGCATATGGAGGCCTTCGTCTGAGATCGAGTGCATGGAAGATGCAATAGGTACAGCAATTGCTTGAACTGAGGATAAAGTGGTAATCGTCTAAATGCAGTAGTCATATGATACTTTAGTTTTTTTATCTTGTCTGAACTTAAGAATGGTTTCGTTGGAGACATAACCTGCAATGTGTTTATGGTTTTCGTTGTGGGAAATGCTTGTATGTTGTTGAAACATTAACCAGTACTCAGTTGTTCTAAATGGAAAAGCAATTTCATTTCAATTTTTGTTTAGCAGACTTTGATATTTTGTAAGTGTAATGCATTCTTGAGAATTTGGATATATCGTATTTGTAAAAAAAAAAACCCACATCGCAAAATACAATATCACGTAAGAACAGTCCCAACACTAAACAATACAGCGAAAAAAATAGCTACAGTATTTGATGTTGTAGCTGAGATAAAATGCTACGACTCAACTGACGACAGCAATGAAATTCTGTTATAGTATACTAGAATGTAGCTATAAAAGCACGCTCCTATTAAGGTGTCAATAGCAAGTAAATAGAGCCATTGTAAATTAAATTGTAGCATTGGAATAATGCTATAACATATCATAATACAGCATCTAATTTGTGCTACCATATCATATATAATAACATCATAACAATGCTATAATATATATGAATATAATAACACTTTTCATAAACGCTATAATCAGGGATGTACTCTATTATAGCTCTGGCAGACACAGCGTTTATGAAAACGCTATGAAAGTACTTTCATAGCGTTATTAGTGAGCTATGAATGTACATATTTCTTGTAGTGTGGATATAGAATAGATCATAGGTTTAGATGTTAGTTTTGTAATCCTCCCTATTTTTAAAATAAAGACATTATTTTTTCTATAAATATCATTTTAATATAAAATTAAGAAGAAATAACACACATATTTAAAAAAAAAAATGTTTTTATGAATAAATTTTAAGTTTAATTATGCTGTCATCATAGAATATGCCTATCTGGTGATGACACAAAAAGGTGTACACAAATATGTGGGATGTATAAGTTTAAGATTAATGGTATGGATTGTAATTTCTTTGGTAATGACACATAATTATGATAATTTTGTAAATTACATGTAAAGACAATATTCCCTCCGTTTCACAAAGAGTGTCGTTCTGACACTTTTTTTTGTTTCAAAAAGAATGTCGTTTTAGAATTTCAATGTAAATTTTGACATAAAATACCATTTTTAACCTCAAAATAAATTCAGAAAATTAATTATAATTCTGCAAATTAATAAGGATATAAGAGACATTTTATTTTATTTTTTAATTTGTGTGAAGAATGTCAAAACGACACTCTTTGTGAAACAGAGGGAGTATAACTCTTTACCATTGCTTATCAGTAGGGAATGTGTATCATATTGATTGTTCTCGGTATCATGCGAGATTTCTCTTACAATTGTAGGGTTGATTGTTGCCCAATTCAATTGGAAGAACCTTGCTAAAAGACCATATGGTCCCGGAGCTTTGTTGGCGGGACTTGAGAACTTTGCTTCTCTGATTTTATCGGGTTTTGGATCAACAATTAGTTTCACATAATATTCAGCATAGATACAAAGATATAGTGCTTGTTACACAATTTCATATATGTCTCTTGCGTCCGAGGTAAATAAATTCTGAATGTAGTTAGTGATTACTTTTGTATTTGATATGATCTTCCTGAAAAAATAGATCTTCCTACATTTCGCCAATTAATGTGATTTTATTTACTGCATGCATTCCTCTAGCAACCGCGTGAAAGTAGCTGTTTTTTTTATTTTTTTAATCTCAAATTTATTAGCTTATCTGCCACCGGATTTTTAGCCTGTACGATACTATCCACATTCCAGACAACCAAATGGCTAATTAGACTGCACACATGCAACAAGATCGGCCTTACTGATAACTTCTCATCACATCAATCAATCAAGCCTAAATATACATTGATCTATGTACCTTGCATGCATCAACACTACTCAACATTATGCATATATGTTGATATATGATATCACACAAGGGACAAAACAGTAATTTAAATCAGAAATTCAGATTTTATT